ACCTTGAAGTGCATATTTCGTGACAGGCGCAGCACTTGGTGAACCTCGAAGTGCAGATTTCGTGGCAGGCACAGCGCTTGCATGGTGAACCTCGAAGTGCAGATTTCGTGGCAGGCGAAGTACTTTGTGCTCTCAGATGCTCACTCTCTCACTCTCTCACTTTCACTCACACTCCCACTCTCACTCTCACTCACACTCGCACTCACTCACACTCACTCTCCCACTCTCACTCGCACACACACTCTCACTCTCACCCACACTCACCAAAACCCACCTTCACTCTCACTCTCACCCACACTCACTAACACCCACCTTCACTCTCACCCACACTCACTCACACTCGCACTCACACTCACTCTCCCACTCTCACTCACACTCACACTCCCTCTCACCCACACTCACTCACACCCACATTCACTTCATCACCGCCATCACCTCTCTGGACCCCAATGCGTCTAGATCTCTAGACTTTCTGCTTACAGACCTCACACACACACTGTTTGGGGTCTCTTGCCGGGATAATCAATGATTTGTTTTGGTATTGTTGAGCATTCTTCGGAGTGCTCGAGCACGTCAGCGCTATTTGTTCAGCGCTCAATATGTCTAACCAGTGCGTGCGCGTTTGCGTTGGATCACAAAGTGAACGTAGGTGGGATCCATATAAAAAATATAGGAAAGAAAGAGATCATGAAGTCTCAACAAAAGAAACATATAGACTTGTAGCAATGGCGTTCGCAACTCATGGAAAGACGGTAAGACGTTTGCCACCGGCGTAACCTGACCGTTCTTCCGAGCGGCTCATGGGAACCGAGCAGGCACCTCCTCCGGCAATTGCAAAAGAGCTCGTGTTCAAGCTACTTGGCAGAGCAGGTCTAATGGTCTGACAGATTTGGACATGTGTGAGGGTTGCCAGATTAAAAGAGATTTGTGCTGTGTGCTTTTGTGATTGGTTTGCGATTTTTTTGGATCAGCGACAGTTGTCCGTGTTTGTTTTTTCAATTGCAAGGCGACCATAGATAGGAGAACGTTCTTGCCGTGTGAAATGGTAGAGAACTTGTATAGGTTTTATATGGTTTTAGAATGTAGATGGTCCCTGTTCAACAACTTCTGTATGAAAACCAAAAACCAGTGGAATGGCAGGCTTATATGTTTACATGTTGCGTCATGTTTCTCTCTTTTGGCCTCCATCAAGACCGCTCCTGCAGCCTTGTGAGGGCAGAAGTTGCGACCAAGAAGGACATCAAAGCAAAATTCAATGTGACGTTGCATGAGGCCAGTCGGATTTCTCCATCGCACCATGTTTCCCGGGAAGAAACCTCGAAGAATCTCTGTAAACGCACAAGTTAAAGAGGGAAAGCGAGACCACACCTGAGACAGTCCAAGATGCCGTCTGTGAAACGTCCAGACCATGTGGGCCATCTAGGGCCTCTTCAGTTCTCACTTTAAACGGTTGCGCAAGGGAAGGTTATCACCCTTGATACCTGATTATTGGCATGAAAATGACGGAAGGCGATTGCTTTCAGCACAGCTCCGCGCTTTGCACTTTTCATCTTGCAGCGGATCGAGATCGGGTGCCTTCTCGGGCATGGAAGGCCATGAAGTTCATCTTCAACCTCAAGGAGGGCGAACGCTTTCCGGAGGCCATCGCGCTATCAGGGTGGAGGCCATTGCTATTAGGTTCCTTTGCTGGTTGGAGGCCATTGCTTAGGAACAAGAAGCTACTAGTAACAAGTGCCTTACTAATAGTAACAAGAAGCTACTAGTAACAAGAAGCTAGTAGAAACAATATGGTGGGGATCGGAAGGGATCGGAGCACCGGGCAGCGTCATGGAGCCGAATCGAGCCTGGTGCGTCCTTCGAACGGACCTTGGAATGAGCGGAACCCGAAGAATCCTCGGAACCTCATTCAACGTAACCAGCATAGCCCAGCATTCCATTGATGTCAGCCGGAATTGGCGGAACTCGGCCAAGCTGCCGTTCTCAGTTGTTGAAGCAACGCAGAACTCGAAAGAGCATCGATTTGTGATTCCCAATGGGAGGCCCCGCCTCCCTACTTAATTAGGTAGTAAGGGAGTAAGCCACTAGCTGCTAGCTACTTAAGCTACTATATATGGTCGCAGGATAGCTCGCATTGGGGAAACTTAGTGAAGAGATGCCTTCCTAAGATCCCCAGCACAGACCTCTCCGTCCACTTTCGGCATTGCGACCAGGTGGACCAGTTTGGCGGCATCGACTCCTTCATTGAGATACGCGCCACGCGCACCGATGTGAGGAGCCAAACGAAGCTTCGTTCCGGTTTGTGTGGCCATCGCTTCGTTTGGTTCCTATTGCTATGAGGTTCCTAAGATCCCCGTTTTGGTGTGTGGCCGATTTTCAAGGACAACCGACTTTTGCTTTGACGATCCCAAGTGCATTTGGAGTGGCAGGCGCAAGCGGCGCTTAGGGGCTTAGGCAGTCGGCAAAACACATCATATATAGACGAGCAGAGCAAGCTGTTCCGTTCTTAGCCGTGGGAGAGAAATCATGAGATGGGTGTTAGTAACAGCAGTACGGTAAGATCGATTTTCTTGTGTCTTTCTGCCTGCCTGCCTTCCTTCCTTCCTTTTGTCCCTTCTGTAACAAGTTCACCATCCTATTTTGTATGTTGGGGGGTTAAGCTGTGAAGCTCAAGTGAATATTTAGAATCCGCCGCAGGCTGTTTATTAAGCAAGTGTTGGGACTCTGATGCTGAGATAAAATTGCCACCAGAGTGCCATGGCCACTACCGAAAGCTTTGAGTTTGAGTATGTCGGAGGACGCTGCAAGCTCACCTCAGACTTGGAACCCATCAGCCTCTTGAAAGGAGACATTGTAGTGGCCGAGACTTACAAGAGGATGAAGCAGCAACGGAAGCAGCACATGGAAGAAGCAAGGGAGCTACAAAAGAGAAAGAAGCGAGCGAAGGAGAGACAACTTCTCACGGATTTCCTTGAGAAGCACGGCTTCGACTCCAGTGATGTAAATGCAACAGGAGGATCGAAGAAGACCAAATGTTTCGGCCTCATTCCTTCATTTCAGCGACCTTTGCATCAAGCTTGCAAGGAGAAGAACGTGGAAGTGATTTTCTTACTGCTTCAATACGGAGCAGATCCCATGTGCAAGGATAGTAGGGGCTACACTGCTTATGACCATGTGGAGTCCTTTGCTGAGCGCAAGCGCATGAATATGCTTCATGAGACATTTCGCGCGAGAGGTGACCTACTTAGCTTGGTCTGAGAGCAAGTGTTCATGTATATATAATTGACTTTAACTCATGAGCAAAGTCAGGTCCAGGTTGGTTGGGAGGCCCTGGAAGCATCCTGAAGTGGCTGCTTCTCTGTGGCTGAATATCTCCGCCCATCCCGGCCCGGCTAGATACTTCAGCGCATGGATGCGCCGCGAAGTGTTTCAAAAGGATGGACATAGTTGGGCATAGTTCAAGATCTTGTTGGGTTGGTTGGCCAAGAGCCAACGGCGTCCAGACTTGTCACTAGGTGAGCTTTCAAATCTTTGTGCAAGACCCATGACTGAGTCAAGCTCCTTCCTTCAGCCTTGGAACCCTTTGGGACCTGTGGGATGTAATGATGTGTCACGTAGTGTAAGGCTGCACCATCTGCCTAGCCTCTGAATTGCCCATCCGTCAACAGAATTGCAGTGGAAGTGCAGGGCAATTACCTGCAGCTCCTGTGAGCTTGTTTCCACGTTTCTGAGAGGATGACTTGTGCCCTGTGGACCTTGTAAACGCAGAGTCATTAATTCAATTAGTAGCGTCCTTGCTCCTAGTAGCGATGCCAGGAGCCCCTAGTAGCTTCTTGCTCCTAGTAGTAGGGCCCCTACTGGTAGTAGCGTTCTTGCTCCCAACATCAATGAACACATGGACTCTGAAGGGTTGGGGTAACTTTTGGGCGACCTGATCAGGATTAGACGCGGCCCGTTGGAGTAGGCCGAGAGTGGGATGCTTGCTGTGCTTCTGTTCGTTTGCAAGTGTCAGCACAGTCGCCGTCGCCGTTTGATGAAAACTGCGACTCCATTTGATAGCGAGGTGATTGTCCACTGTCGGCAGAGCCAACTTTGCTTTGCTTTGCTTCGCCTTGCTTCCTTTTCACCATGGACATGTCGGGTGAATTCGGATGATATGCATCTGTCCAGTCCAAGAATTCTGTATACCGACCAGTGAAGTGATCCAAGTACCCGACATCAGCGATGGGCAGAGGAGAAAGATTCGACTGAGACATGATGAGTGATTCTGTCGTGAATTCTCCGTGCATCGAAACGCAGCTTCGTTGGACTTGTGACGTACCACATCGTACCACTGACGAAAGAAAAGCGTGTTGTGAAGCAAACGCACCGAGAAACGCTGTGAGATCACATGGCAGGACGCAAGTGCACACCGACACAGTGGCTCCCAAGTACAACCAGGACAAACAACTCATGATGCATGTTTTAATGTATATGTGTGAATACTCAATGTCTTGAAACCAGGCGGCAATATATCGGATCAAGCGCGACTAGGATGGGGAGGAGAAGGTCCACAAGTTGTTTGAAATACCAGGCCATTGCAATCAGGTTGGAGGCCATAGCTATTGGGCTGGAGGCCATTGCTAGTGGGTTGGAGGCCATCGCTACTCGGGTGGTGGAGGCCATCGCTCTTAGGTTGATGCGCTGGTAGAATTGGAGCGCAAAGTCGAGGCTTCAATCTTGCCTTGTGTGGTACAAGCAGAGCATTTCGTGTGCGTGCATATTGTCAAGAAAGCTAAGTTCTCCAATTTCCATTTGGGACACGCCACATATCTTCCGTGCGATGGGTGTAGACTCCACGCTTAGGAGATAAAGGCAACTTTGCCTGCAGATCCAAGCATGTTCGTCCAGATCGTCTGCTCCCCAGCGTGAAGTTAGCCGGGTTGGGAGGTGCCTGATCGCTGTTTGATGGGCTCAACTAGCAAGCTCACACGTTGCACGCTTGAAGTTGAAATCACTGAACAATGTCATGAAAAGAACCATTGGCAAGACCTTTTTTGAATGCTCCCTTCTATATCCGGTTGAATCGAATCGCGTGCGAATCGTTTGCACTCAGATCCTGTGGGACAGCAACGCTCCCATGGCGGACTACCCTGTAGCACATCACGTTATGCAAGTGTCGGAGGAGTCTAGTGCGCCGCAGAAAAAGCGCCGCAGTGCGCAAGCCCAACATGTAATTCCTCGAAATAGACAGTTGGTTGGTGTCCTTGTTGAATGACTTGAGGTCTTTTCTAGCGACAATACGAGTTGTAAGAGTCTTTGGAATCTTCTACAATTGAAACGCTGGTCAATGGCCGATTGTATTTTGGTTCCGACTCTCAGGTTGGAGGCTATCGCTGTTAGGTTCGAGGTCATCGCTAGTAGGTTGGAGTCCATCGCTCTTAGATTGGAGGCCATCGCTATTAGGTTACTAATTTGGGTTGGAGGCCATCGCCAATAGGTTGGAGACCATCGCTATTAGGTTGGAGGCCATGGCTATTAGGTTGGAGGCCATCGCTATTAGGTTGGATGCCATTTCTCTTAGGTTGGCTGCAGGAATCACACAGTTTCGAAGACTTAATCTAGGATTACTCTCGCCCAGACAGTAAGCAATGGCACAGCATGCATTGCAGGAGATTTGTCACAAGCAAGATCTCCCCCCCTGTGGAGCATACCATCAAGGTGAGTGCGAATTGGGAGTGGAAGTTTATTTGACTTCAGTGTCCGCCAAAGCTTTTGCCCTGGCAAAGGGACGCCGATCATTTTCATGTATCAGTGCTTATACTTTCACACAATGACACAGCATACCAACATATTTATGGTGTCCGTCACATATCCTGGAAGGTGACAAAAGCAGGCAGGCCATAGACCTCTAGTTCGGAAGCGTACTGTGGGTTTGTGAGTTTGGTGTGTTGGTATGGGCCATCATGGATTTCGCACATCTCGCTTTCTCAAGTCACTGCAGTTTCAAAAGCTTCCTGGGCAAGCAGCGGTGCCTGGATATCAGAAAGCCTCGTTGGGGAGCCCATCGCCTATACTCGCCGATGAGATTTGTGCCAAGGAGGCGTCAGAAACCGACTCGAAGAAGCACACCGGCTGGCGCAACCCAAACTAAAACTATGGACGTAGCAGTCAAAAAGTTCTGAACTTGCAGAAACCATGTGTTTTGATGTGTTTTTAATGTTTGTGATAGACCAGTGAACGGCCTGTGCCTAGACCATAGAGCACCAACGAAAGCCCTTGGTGGTGGCACGTGTAGACCCCGGTAGACCCTGCGGTGTACTTCCAAGCATTTTGATGCTTCATAATATTTGCCGCCCTTGTGGAACATTTCATGTGTAGTGCAGAGCTGTTTTTTAGGATCATCAAGGCAATCCTGTTGGCCGGTAAATATTTTCACAACAAGTCAAGCAGGATTGGTCTGGTCACAACACAGCTCTTCAGAAAGCAGGATTGGTCAACCTATACAGATGTTTCAGACGATTAAGTCCTCCGAAGGGAGCAGAAAAGGTTAATAATATTGAAGAATCAGAAACTGCGAAACTGTATATACTATATAATATACTATTACTATATAAATAGATCAAACAGAAATAGCTTTCTGCCCGCCAAGCACCAGACTTCGGCAGTTAACATCCATAATTCTCGTCTCAGGTTGAAGTTCAGCCTCCAGACCTCCTTGGCGGAGCCGGGCACTCCGCCGAAGGTTGCACCAAAACCTAAAGCCAAGAGCAAAGCGGAGGCTGGACACGAACCTGGACAGTCCCTAGAACAATCCTCAGTTAGATAGGAAACAACCATTGACACCGCATGATGCTGGCATAGGCGTGGCTAAGGGCCCGAACCCAGCTTCATTCTGGTAAACTCATTCACGGCTCAACTGGTGTGGATGTGAATAGTCCACAGCTACGATTTGGCAATCCGTGTGTAGGCAAAGGCTGCACCCAAAGCGAAGGGTGCTGCAGGCCGGAGATTCTTGATTCAACATGACATGATTCAATCGCTTTGAGAACAAAAGGAAGAGAATTCGCAACTGCACTCTTGCAACTTGGGGTGTGGGTGGCTTGATGGTCGAGTTTGTCGAGTTTTCACTCATCAGCCCTCCAACGGAACGAGGTCAGTCGTTTGAAGGCAGAGTTTCGCAAGGTTGGGCTCAACAAGGTTTGCCAATCAAACGCTTCCTGGAAGGCAAAGCCCAACCGAAAGCAGCCGTGCCAGCAGCTTGAGCAAAAGGGAAAGGCGGCAACGATGGTGTCCCAATCTTTTTACTTCTCAGCCCCCTGAAGAACGAGCTCTACATGTGAGTTCAATGAGCCTTTGTGATGTTACAGCCTGAGAAAAGAAGAACAAGCTTTCTTTGTCTTCTTGATGTCTCATCCTTGATCATCCTTGATCCTCAAGATTGCTGGATCCTCAATCCGGTTCGTTTAGATTTGGGCCTTGAGCGGCCAACATACGCGCAAGCAAGCGAGAGCGCCTCGTTTTGGCTCAGAAGATCGAACTCGGCTCTTGGAATCGAACTTGAACCCTTCTGATCGCTACGAACGGAGCAAGAAGCTACTAGGGGCGCTCCTGGCCTTCCTACTAGTAGCAAGAAACTACTAGGGTGGAGGCCATGCTACTAGGGCGGAGGGCGCAGAAGTGGTAGTTTCCCGTTTCCATTTTGGACACTCGCTAGAACTGGATGCCGGTTTTTGTGACGTGAGTGCAGCCAGCGTATTTTGCTCCCGAACGGTGTGTGCCGAAACTCGTCCATGGCTACAATCATCGCGCTGTCGGGCTGTACGCGTTCGGGAAAGTCCACCCTGGCGCAGATGATTTGCGAACGTTTACAAGCGACAGTGCTCAGTCAGGAGCTCCATGACTTCACAGATTTATGATGATTTATGAAAGATCAGGATGTCAAAACTCTGCTCGTGGTGCCATCTGCCATCAACTGAGATGACCTGATCACTCGTGTCAGGATGACTACTGGCGCAAGAGCGTTGTAGTCGAAGTCAACGGGCGACCACGAAAAAGTGAAGAAGAGCCTGAGTGCAGCTGGGTCGCATTGGAAAAATCATAGGGCCGGACACAAACGACCACTGGCCTTTCACACTTCGCGATTGAATGGCCCGTTCGCACGGTTTTCTATCATTAGCGGTGTGTTAATATGTCAAAACTCGCTCTTGGGCAAGAATGCATGCAAAAAAACCGGGGAGCTGGAGAACAAGTACTTCGAGATACTTAGCGATCTTGAACTCATGTCGCAGACAAAATGTGTCACCAATGAAATTTACAGGAACGAGAATGACGATCACTGCCGTTTATCCGAGCAAGTTCTTTTTAAAAATCCAACTTCCCATCTTTCCTGGTGACCCGATGCAAATCAAAATGTTGAGGGGTGACAATTAGTGGGGACATGGCAGGCCAAGCATTGATTTGAAGGTACTGACTTCACCTCCTTCCGCGCCCGTTTGGAAGATCTAGCAAGTGAGCACAGATTTGTGAACCTTGGCAACAGGGGCATTATGCCATGACAGTCAAAGTAACCACTCCCACGAGTGCGAAGGGAAAGGACATGGGACGAAACGGCACACGACATGTCCCATGATGTTGCGCCAACATCCCAGGATTGTGGAAGGCTTTCAGGTTTCTTGGCGTGTGGCCGTTTTGGTGGAGAACATGCGTCTTCACCGGTCCGTGAAGCGTCACATTCTTACTTGGCTAGAAGGCTGGCAAAGGGATTATTTCTTCATAAGCATCAACGCTTGGAGGGAGCTCTTTCTAGGGAGAAGATATTTGTGTTTGTTGTGGGAAGAAACGCACGCTTGCCGCTTGCGGAACACGGAATTTGAACAGTTTCTGTTGATTGTGATCATCAAGGGGGAGTTCCAAAAATTGTTTTTTGACCACTGCAAAAGTTTTTGAAATGGCAATTCGGTTGGTGTTAGGCGGCAGTGAGAAGCTTGGCCAACTCTTGACTTTCGTGTTGAATTTTCACCATACCCGGCAGTGCCTGGCTGAAGGTTTTGCATGATCCAAAGATGCGAATGCTCTTTGACCACATCATCCACTTAGAGCTGTCTCTGGAGGAATGCCTACGGCGTCGAACTGCCCAGAGGAGTCTGCAGAATCCCAATCCACTCAGTCCTGAGGATGTCATGGATTTGGCCCCTCAGCACCTAATAGCTTCTTGTAACTAGTAGTAAGGCCAGGAGCTCCAAGTAGTGTCCTTGCTCCTAGTAGCGATGCCAGGAGCTCCTAATAGCTTCTTGTTACTAGTAGTAAGGCCAGGAGCCCATAGTAGCGTCCTTGCTCCTAGTAGCGATGCCAGGAGCTCCTAATAGCTTTTTGTAACTAGTAGTAAGGCCAGGAGCCCCTAGCTCCTAGCAGCGATGCCAGGAGCTCCAAATAGCTTTTTGTAACTAGTAGTAAGGCCAGGAGCCTTAGTAGCGTCCTTGCTTCTAGTAGCGATGCCAGGAGCCCCTAATAACTTCTTGTTACTAGTAGAAAGGCCAGGAGCCCCTAGTAGCGTCCTTGCTCCTAGTAGCGATGCCAGGAGCCCGTAGTAGCTTCTTGTTACTAGTAGTATGGCCAGGAGCATCCTTGCTCCTAGTAGCGATGCCAGGAGGCCCCTAATAGCTTCTTGTTGCTAGTAGTGAGGGCAGGAGCCCCTAGTAGCGTCCTTGCTTCTAGTAGGGATGCCAGGAGCCCCTAATAGCCTTTTGTTAAGGAGCATCTGATGTTGCCGCATGTTGCCACTTTCTGTTTTTTGTTCATGGTAAACGTCATTTGCGCTGGCTGAAGTGGTGGTTGAGGTTTGGCCAGCACACCTACGTTATGTCGAGGCAATTGTGAAACCACTGGGTGAAGCTGTCCACATTCTTCCGGCTGTTGCGGGACCATCCGCAAACGCAATTTCTACAACGAATTTTATAATTGATTTGATGAAAGAAATATATTTAAAAAATATATATATATAATATAATTAAACATATTTAATATATATGTATTAAATATTAAACAATATCTATTTAGATTATTTTATATTTTTGGAAAAAAATAAATAAATAGAATAATATATATTAATAGATATTTTAGAACGATATAAAATTGTATTTTTAAAAAAATGGATATTTGATATTTAAATATTATTTAATAATATTTTTTTTAAATAGATAATTTTAAAGATTTATTGCAGAATATTTATTTGGGTTTGTATTTTTTTAAGGTTCTCGGGTCGGGATGTTTGATTATGGGGTATGCTTCGGGGTATGCTTCGCGTAGGGTAAAGACTACGTATGTAGCATTTCTAGAGGGTATGCTTCGCCTAAGTCGAACATTTCTGCCTATATAAATTGGACACCTTAAAAAAAGAAAAGACCATTTATTGTAATATTTAATGTAAGATATATAGAAAATATTATAATTAATTTAAGTTTTAGCGGTCATTTCCGGCGTTGGGTGTTATATTTATTTATTTAATATTATGTTGTTTTTTTTAATCGTTGTTGCATATATAATTCCGATATTTATAACATTGGAAAATCCGATCTTAAGATTGGCGCGGGGGGGACTTGAATATTTATATTTTACGATTATTGTTACTCGGACACTGGTGCGGAAGTGCAGGGGACCGAGTGGAGGTTCGAAACTCACGAAGTTCTCGAACGCGAACTGTCGGGCGGCACGCGAAGTCGCGCCCTTTTCCCAGTGCCATTGGCGTTAGGATCGATCGCCCACCGCTAGTGGTGGAAACATAGGGCATTCGGGCCGTGATGGCCACACATAAAACATATGAAATGTCTATATTGTTAAGTGGCTTGGTTTATCACATGCAAACTCACACCGGTAAAAGGAGTATGAAAAAGAAATTCTCTAGCTTCAAACTTTAGTCGACTATCCATTCCTCATATGGCAGGTTGCCATAGTCTTGCCTCCAGGACATCATGTCTTCCTGAAGCGTGGTGCCGCTCAAGCTATTGACTCGGTGAGGAGTCTGAGGAGTGGGGTTGCAAAAAGCGCAACAAGGACGTCGATCAACACGGTGAGCCTGCTTCAGGCCATGGCAATCAGCTCGGACGTGGAAGGTGTGACCGAAGGGCGTCACATGGGTGCCCGTGGTGAGAGGGCAATCTTCATCAAAATGGTCCAGGAGTTCCCGGTAGCAGCGCGACAGAAAAGCCTGACATTGTCGAAAGGACTGGTCGATTTCTTCGGCTTCTTGCTGTTCTAGGCGCCATTGTTCCATCATCTCGTTGTGATGCCGGCGGGTCTCCGCGTTGGCCTCAGCAGCTTTCACCAAATCGTTTTCCAGCTGGGAGATGCGGCGGTCGAAGAACAGGCATTGGTCGTCCAACGCACTGTCGAAGTGTCGTTCATTTCGAGTTTGTGCCACCCTCAACTTGACCTTCAGGTCGTTTACCTGTCGGCGGTGCTCATGAAATCTGCCCAGCTTGTAAGTCAGGTAGCTCACAACGAGGGTGGTGAAGAGGATGAAGAGGAACAAGTAGGTCAAAATGGACCATTCCTCAGCAGGCTCGTCGCCAGCCAAACAAAGACCATCTGGCTTCAACTGCGTGAAGTCACCTGTGGACTCTGCCGTAACAGCCTTGATCTGTGTGAAGTAGATCATCATTGCCATTGGGGTTCTCAAGGACTTGGAACTCGGCCATGATGTAGGTCCAGTGTCGGCGGCTTCATCCTGCGAGACATACTCATCCTCAAAGCTCGACTCTTCCTGCACACTTTCAAGGTGTTCGGTGGAGTTGAGGTGGTGTTGTTGTGGTTTGTGTTGTTTTGTGTTGGTCTTCTTCTTCACTTTTGCGTCGGCGAACTCTTGCCGACTTTCTTCACGTTCTTGTTTGCTCTTTTTCTTGGCCGAGGTGTACTGAGGATCCCAGGCCAGCTTGATGCGGTGTCGCCTCAAGCGATCAGCCAGCAGGCTTCTTGTAGAGCTCTTTGTCAAACCATCAACGAATTGTCTTTCGCTGCTGACCCACTTGAGACAACCTTCAAGGTCAGTTGTCTGCTGCTTAGCCACCTTGATCTCGAGGTAGGTGCGCTTGTCCACTGAAGAACTTGCGGAAGTGGTGGTCTCTTTATGCCATGCATCGTAGAGAGCTTTTGCGTCGGTGACCAAAGTAGGTCGTAGAGCTGAACCTTCTTGTAGTCGTTCGCGAAGCTTGTGCTTTGGGTCAAAAATGATTGACCAGAACCTGCAGATGTATTCAGCACTGTCACTGGCGCCACCAGCTGCTTGAGCCTTTGCACTCAAACTGGAACGTGCGACTCGGGGCAGTTTGTAGCTGCGCCAATCAACCACATGGTATGGGGTCTCCTTTTCAAAGACCTCTTCCGGGACCAGGATCGCCAGGTGTCCTCCTTGAGAGGTGTAGTCCTCCCGGGCTGCGTGAGAGGCATCAAACATCACCACCAGGCGGATCTTAGAGAGGTCGGAGTGGTTGCTGACAGATTCAAACGGTTCATACTTCAAGGTCACATCTGCTTTTTCCTTGGCGAACTTGAGAAGGGCATTTGCTTCCATGATTGCACGAAGCTTGCCAGTGCGCTGTTGTCCACTGATCAAACTGCAGCTAGCCTGTAGATGAGATTGTGACTGGACTGAGGGCCATTGCAAACTTCCGAGGAGGGCTCGTAGCTGTCCTCGATCATGTTCATTCATCGGATCTTCAGGGCCGCGTCCTCGATGAACAGTCACAGGTTTCACCTTGTGCAAGAAGTGGCTTTGTGACAGGTTCCAGGTGAAGTCTTTTCGGTTGTGGATCACACCGCAATACTCCATGGATTCATGATCTTCTTGCCAACTTCTAAACTCAAAAACTTCTTTCAGGCGTCGTTCAGCTGCAATATAGGTGGCACAGCCGCGGTCACCAGCTCCAAGCATGTCATCCACGTGAAGTGCTATCAGGCCACAAGGAACAGAGGAGCCATCTTCATGATAATGATGAAGTATAAAAAGACATGGGTCAAGGTCATGTGGTGTCCAACCTTCCTGTGTCAGCCTTCTCGTGGCTTCTTGCCACCAACGACGAGGGGCGTCCAACTGTCCGTAGACGGGCTTGATCAAAGCCATGCGGGTTTCAGGACCGCAACCAAGGATGTGGAGGCAATCATTTGGAAGTCGGAGCCACAGCTGCCTCTGTTGAGGTAGTCCTTGAAGAAATGCTGTGGCCACGTCGGCGGACCATCCACTCCATCTCAACATGGCAGAGATGGAGAGTAGCAGGTTGCGAGCCAATCTGGATGCCGTAGGCGATTGGGTGTCCAAGTTGCCAGCTAAGGCATCGGCATCATTGTAGCCACGAACAACCAATCGGGCCTTAGCCCTGGGAGTGCCATCTGGATTCTTCGCCCATTTCAGCAGCATTCGGCTGGACAGGGTTCGATCTGCATCAGCCTTGTCTGAGGTAGTGAATTCCCAGACGCCACATTCGAAGAAGCTGCGAAGCTCTTTGCACTTGGCCTCAAAGAACAGCTGTTGTTCTGCTTGTGTGAGGTTCTTTTCTCTGATTTCCGACTTGCTTTTCTCTTTCTTGATGTGTCGGAGCTGCTGGTTCTTCATGTGCTGAGCGGCCTTTCGGATGGGCTTCACGGATGTGGGAGAACTGGAGGACAAGGTTGCAGTCATTCCAAGTTCCATGCGAGTCACGGCATTGATCTGAAAGATCGTGCATCCAACCCACTTTGGAGGTAAACCCTTGGCGGCTTCTTTGGAGTGTCTCTTGAACACATTCTCCGTCTTGAAGTGGTCGGTGGTCGCCGAAGGTTCTTGTCCTGGCTCACGAAAGATGGTGACTCTGATATCATCAAGTTTCTCCAAGGGTACTGGAAGATCGGCCTGATCGCCTGGAAGAAATTTCTTTGACCGTGGTCGTACGTGATGGCGAATAAGGCATCCACCCTTGACTTCCCAGAAGTCAGCTAACTTTTGTTTGAGCTCCAGGGAATTGTTGTTCTTGTTGAAGGTCCAGCCATGAGGAAGGTTGGCCGTATCGATGTCCTGGACTTCAAACACCATTTCACCAGTTTCGTGAGGAGGCCTTGCATAAGGGCTTGGTTGCTCATGATGCCGTGGTCGTCTTGGACCAAAGGACAGGGTTTCCTGCTTGTCAAGTCGAAGTCGTTGCTGCTCGAAGGTCTCAGGGGCAACTGGAGTCCTGTAGGCTTCTGACGTCACAGGGTCAAGGTTCATCGGAGTTGCAGGAACACTTGGAGGCTCAGGCTCAATCGAAGGTTCCGGCTGATCGGACATCTCATCCAGGTGTTCAGGAACAGCCGGTAAAAGGTGTTCTGGTACTGCTGGTTGTTCTGGAGGTTCAGGAGCCGTGGAGGCAGCAGGAGCAGCGGCTGGGAAAGATGGATTTCCCGGAGTGTCAACTTCATCAGTAGGTTCCGCTGGCTCTGAGGGAGTGTAATCCTCCAAGGAGTCATCGATTGCTGCATCAAGTCGGCGGCGTTTGTGTTCTGGGCCTTCATCGGGAGACATCTCTTCTTCGTGTTCTTCAACATCTAGCAAGTCTTGCTTGTTGGCCCTGTTCAGATCGAGAAATCTGGTCACGCCTCTTGACTTCAGTGCCTGAAGTGTGGATGCAGCATCTTTCAAATTCTCAACAGCGGTCTCTTCGATGGCAGTGAAGTCTGGTCGAACGTGATGTGGTGCAGCTCGAATGAGTTGTGTCTTGTGAGCCAACCAATAGACATGAGGGCTGCCGTCTTTTTCCTCGACACAGACGACCTTTGCGGGCCCACGCCATCGAATCTTGCACAGCTCATGTTGTTGCGCATCTCGCCAGTAGAAGCATCTTTGGCCAGCTAGCAACCGTTGATTGACGCCAGAGTAGCGTCGGAGGAGAGCTCGTCTCAGCTTCCGATCAGTCTCTGCCTGGAGGATTGCAGTCTTGGCCACATTGCGCTGGTGCAAATGCTTCTCGAAGGTCTCGTGTTCGTGTAGGGCGCAAGAGCTGGACTGCAGTAGACCAGGTTGAGCAGGTTGATAGCCAAGGACCCATTGAGTCGGCGAGAATCCTGCAACTGTGGGCTGAGCATTGAGTTGAGGCAGGATGTAAGTCAAGGCTTGACGAATGCCTTCTCTTCCTTCTAACTTCAGGTCGTGCATGTAGACCTCAATGGCCTTTCTCAAGACTGCATGCCTTCGTTCAACTTGGCCCAGTCGTTCGTGGGCTTCACCAGGAGCAACTTTATGGCTGATGCTGTGGCTGTCGGACCATTCCATGAACTCATTGCTAAGCCAGCCGCGACCTTCATCAGTCACCAACTCTTCTGGGACGCCGAAATGAGCAATCCAATGTCGCTCAAGGGAGAGGATGTAGTCCTGGGTCTGCTCGGTCTGGACCTGACATGCTGTCTGGTACTTCGTAGCACTATCCAAGATGGCCATGATCGGCCACTTCTTCTTGTCGGTGCGGATCCAGAAGACATCAGCTTGGATGGACTGATTGAAGCGGTCGGCCTTCTGCACGTTGGCTGGTGCAGGTTGATTTGGTTTCTTGTAGCGCAAACATGAGCTGCAGAGGTAGTTCTCAGCCACGGACAAAACATCAGTCGAAGCGCCTCTGGCTTGAAGGAGGTCGACCAGGGCTTGAGCAGAAGGATGACCAAGGTTTCGGTGGAGCTTCTGAACAACTCGTAGAGCATTCTGCTTACCTTCTGCGTGAAGATCAACGATCTTGCCCAGGTATTGCGACTGCTCGCGAACCGCGAAGGAGCCTTCCCAGAGTTGAGGCTTCTCTGAACAGGCCAATGAAGTAGCCAGTGTGGATGCGAAGGCGGGCTGGTACTCCTCCATGAATGAGGTTCGATGAATGCCATGTCCCTTCATGTAGCCTTCAAGTCGACAATGTTCATGGTCACCTGAGCATAGCCGGTTCATCGTCTCTGCAACGGAGCGCTTGGTCGTGAGGATGGTGGTGTCTTTTCTTGTTGGCTTCCATGCTCCATCAACATCCATGCACATAGCACCATACTGACATTGATGATGTCGTGCTCGATAGCCAGGCAAGGAATGAAGCGCTGCTGTGTCCCAAGACAATGCTGAAGTTGGCTGCTCAATGTGTCCATGTCGTCCTGAGTGCAACTGCTTCAAATAGACTCGCTTGCAGAACTGAAGGTGGGTCCTGTGGTGCCATTCTCGAAGACCTCGAAGTACTTCTTTTCTCTGCTCGGAGGTTGCAGAGATGTTCTGCATGCGTGACCATGGGCCGCAACTGGGAGACAGGTAGATCTCGTCCGGCATCTCTTGGTCTTGTAGTTCCAGGAAGGCGCGCTGATGCGACTGGAGCGCGAAGTTCCATCCTGTCTCAAAGCCGAACGTTTTGACGGTCATGCCAATTGCTTCAGCCATCTGCGACAGTCGAGCTCTTCCGGTATAGACTTCCCATAGGACACGAGGAGGAGCTTGATGTTCTTGTTTGATGGCCTGATCAACCAAGGTGTTCATCGACTTCAGCTGAGCTTGGGTGTGCATGACCAAGGTCTTCCAGTGCTTGGTGGTCATGGGAGACGTGTCCTCTGGTGGTGTCTGTTCTTCAACTTGGTAGAGGTGCTCTTCCATCAAGAAGTCTTCCATAGAGCCAGGGTCGCCCAGTTTCTCATCAAGCTGAAGGTCGAAGGAGGGTTCCCACGTCAGCTGTTCGGTCTCAAACGAGGACGTGAGGTCAAGGAGGTACTCCTCGTGGCGACCGAGAACTGCATCTTGCCAGTCAGCGTCACCAAACTTGACTTTCTGCTGGGAGAAGTCGATGGTCATGTCCAAGGCGCGAATCACGGGTCTTCCAACCAACATAGGAGTTTCGCCAGACAAGACAAAGCCTTGGATCAGTCCATGTTGTCCATTCAGGTAGACTGGCACTTTGGCTACCCAAGAACTGACCTTCTGGTGGTCGCCACCGAAGTGAAAAACTCGATGGCAACGCTGCAGTTGAAGCTTGTTGGTGTCATAGCCCAATTGCCGGAGGTGGTTGACATAGCGGACCAAGGGACCTGATCCCATCAAGAACGATGAAGCGCCAGGGTCCAACATAGCACAGTCAGGGCGTTCATGGCCAAAGGAGTCCTCAAGCATGACCAAGGTCATTTCGTCTTGCAAGATGGCCATTCCTTCAACTGCTTGGCGCTTGCCGCTTGTCATAGTTGCCGGTTTAGGCGTAGAGCTCGTCTGTGTGCATTGAGCTGTCTTGTGGAACGTTGAACCACATCGCATACATGCTGGAGCCATTGCTGCACGAGCTCGCCCTTTCGGATCTGCAGGCTTTCCAGGAGGTCGGTCATAGCGATAGGTGTTGCTCTTTCCTTTTCCTTTGCCTTTTCCTTTCTTCCCTTTTCCCATGCCTTTGAAAGGCTTTTGCGAGGAGGTAGAACTCGATGAAGGGCCGGAGTCCTGGAGAGCCACCACAGGAAGGAATCCTCTGCTGATCTTCAGGTCATTGAAGCGTTTGCGAGCATCAACGTATGAAGCATAGGCCTCATCGTACTCTTCGGTGTCAAACTCATGCTCGTGTTCATCAGGTTCTTCCTGGTAGTAGGCGGCATCGGCATCGAATGACTCCCACCACTGGTCATCATAGTTCTCTTCATCGTCCATGTAGTAGGCATCATCTTCCTCCTCATAGGTCGGGGCATTGTCATCCCATTCGAAGAAGGCTTCGGAGTCATCACCAGCAAAGTATGAACGGCCCTTGCCGGATCCAGCACGGTTCCAGCGGTCCCTGAGGAGCTGACCGCCACCTTTGTAGTCTTGGCCGAGGATGGCAAACATCGCTTGCTGAATCTTGGCTCGTTCAAGTGAGGCGGCCTGTGTCATGATCATCTGCTTTTGCTCACGTGTCAGGGCGGCCTTAGTCAGGAGGAACCACCCTTGGATTTGTGTGGGTAGTCGAACACCATGCTTCTCGATTTGCTTCAGCCGGTCATCGTGATCCGTCACATAGTTCAACAAGGTCTGACCTGGCTTGCGAGCCAAATGCTCAAAGTAGGACGAGAAGTCGGCAGGCATCTCGACATTGGCGTCATACTGGAAGGAACCGTCCAAGATCTTCAAGATCTCTTGGAGAGCTTCTGGGTCTTCTGCCTTGTCCAGGTTGAAGTCTTCGCACAACTTCCACGCTGTTCCTGAGAGGCTGCCCAGCAGGTTCAAGATCGCTTCGCCCTGCCGTTTTGACAGGGACATTTTTCTGCAGTAGATCAAGATCCTTTTCCGCCATTCGCGGTATCCCGTTAGGGAGCCATCGAAGAGCGGGATGAAACTATCCCGGGCCGAGTGGTTGTCGAACTCGACCTTCTTTTCCGTGGTCGTGGTAGAAGCCACACTTCAGGTTGAAGGAGGTGTCACCACAAGTGCTGTAGAGCTCGTCAAGGTCAAAGAGCTCGGTGGTCCAACAAGGAAGTGGAACTCCTCAAGGTCAAAGAGCTCTGGTGGGAGCGAGTGCGGTAGAACTCAGCAAGGTCAAAGAGCTCTGGTGTAAGCACTGCTCCTGAGCGTGAAGAAGATGACAAGGTTGTTGGTGCAGTTTCCGTGGAAGGTGAAGTGGGCTTTGAAGGTGGATATGATGTAGTGTTGCGGAGATCGGCAGGGAGCTACCCGGAGCGTGGTAGCTCCGCTACCAATGTCACTCGGACACTGGTGCGGAAGTGCAGGGGACCGAGTGGAGGCTCGAAACTCACGAAGTTCTCGAACGCGAACTGTCGGGCGGCACGCGAAGTCGCGCCCTTTTCACAATGCCATTGGCGTCAGGATCGATCGCCCACCGCTGGTGGTGGAAACATGGGGCATTCGGGCCGTGATGGCCACATATGAAACATATGAAACATCCATACTGTCAAGTGGCTTGGTTTGCCACATGCAAACTCACAACTATATTTTTTTTCCTTAAGGATTCGAGGTTGGTATGAGGATTACCAATGTGTTTTTCTTGGATTGATAGAAATATAGAGCCTGTTTAGGATTCTTTTCCTGCCTGCACGAAAGCAAATGCAATTTGGGCAATATATGGCTACGACCAATTGGTGCATCAATCTCGAATAAGGCGAATTAAAAGATCGTTTCGCCGTGCTTGCAAACGAACGCTGATAGCTGGTCACACAAGCTAGAGAGATAAATGTTTTATGGATTGAGACGTATCATTCTATTGAAGGCTGAAATACAGAAATCTTCTTTGATATCTCCCTCTAGGTAGACACGACAATTTGGCATGATCCTGAAATTAATATCCTGGAATGCCACCAGAAGCTTGAATTACCATGAATGCTTGGTCCATAGACCGACCTGAGGATATGCTTTTGATTTAGGAATCCAATATGTTAATTGTCACAGGATATTTTAATTGCCCTTTGCAACAAGACCCACCGTGCATTGGTAGTCATGATCCTCGCTTTGATCACGCCCTTCAATCCGATAAACATTATTTTCAGCAAATGATTCGTGATCTTTCTGTGATTGTTGTTCATTGCAAACAGAAATACTTACCCATA